ATGATATTAATAATCAGGCTCAAGCTTCTAAGATAAATTCACAGTGCAAATAAAATTGGGAATGATCGCAAATGCGCGCAGGGAAGAACGACCACGGGAAGAATACAGATAAGAAAGAATTTCAAAAATACCTGGGTGTACCTGTACACCCGGGTGTACGGTATAAATTGCCATGACAACCCACAATTGTTCAAGTGCAGAAACCACCGGGTTTAAAGGGAATCGCCGTTTAAATTGACCAGAAAAGGGAAAACACTCACATACACATCACAACACATGCCTTTCTTCCAAGTCACCGTTACATCCCCACCGACTCTTTCTCTCTCAGGCCGCCAATTTCACGGCCTCCGGTAAATCCCCCCTTTTCACTCTCAACCTTTTTCTGATCACAAAGTCACAAGCACAAGCCAAGAATTTGTACTGAAATCGATATATGCAGGTGAGAGATGGCAGAGGTGGTGGAGGGCACGGCAGCAAAGCCCCAGCAAATCTCCGAGATGTTCCAGAAATTCGCCCACGCCTTCAAGGCCAAGACGTTCGAGCTCTTCGCCGACGAGGACCCTTCTGCCCCCGACGACGGCGATGTTTACACCCTCCTCAACTCCGCCGACGAGTTCATTACGGATCAGAAAGTGGTGGTTATCAAGCCCGATTCTCCGGACCCTACTGCGAAAGCCCAGTTCGTCAATGCCCTCGTCTCCTCACTCTTAGCCAACGTTTCATCCTTTGAGGCCTCCTATCTTCAGCTCCAAATGGCCCACGCCCCTTTCAGCGAGCAAGCTATTGAATCAGCCGACAAAGCTGTCGTTTCAATTCTTCAGAAATTGACTGAGATCAGAAATCTGTACTGGAGTTTCAAGAAACATCCTAGCTGCAATCTTGAGTATTTCCCGGTGGGGTCGGTTTTGGAGTTCCAAGTTCAAGAGAACCAGAGCAAGCTCAGAGCCCTGGAGACCATGGTAAATCAATTGCAGTCTGATATTGAGTCTAAGGATGATGAGGTTTTGATTTTGAAGAAGAAATTAAGTAAAGTTGAAGACATCAATTCCGTTTTATCAAAAAAGCTAGGGTCAAGAGCTGAGAGCTTATGCAATACCATGGATGTCATGTTAACAATTCGTGTTTTCGAATCTCTTTTGCGTGATTCATTAAAGTCTGTGCATTGTTTTAGCAAGACACTACTGGAGCTGATGAGAAAAGCTGGCTGGGATCTGGAGCAGGCTGCCAATTCTGTTTATTCTGATGTAAACTATGCAGAGAAAGGGCACGAGAAGTATGCGTTTCTCTCTTACGTTTGTTTGGAGATATTCCGGGGTTTTGATAAGGACAATTTCGGGATACAGTGCAATGGTTGCAATGACTCTACTTGCAGTAAGAGTGGGTACCTGAGACAACTAATCGAGCACGTCTCATGCAATCCACTGGATGTTTTGCAAAACAGTCCGAATTGCGTGTTTTCAAGATTCTGCGAGAACAAGTATGAGCAACTGATCCATCCCACGATGGAGACATCAATATTCAGCAATATGGACCGTAAGGAAGTTGTATTGAATTCGTGGAAATCGTTGAGCGTATTTTACGAATTCTTTGTCAGGATGGCAAGCTCGGTATGGCTCCTTCACAAGTTGGCATTTTCTTTCAATCCCGTGGTAAAGATCTTCCAAGTGGAAGCAGGGGTGGATTTCTCAATGGTGTACATGGAAGACATCACTAGGAAAAACAGCTTCTTTTTGGGTAAGACTAGGCCCAAGGTTGCTTTCACCGTTGTCCCTGGGTTCAAAATAGGTAGGATGATCATTCAGTCTCAGGTTTACCTAACCCCAATGCCTTTAAGCATCCATCCATAGCTCTCTGAAAAACTAGGATTTGCATTCTGTAGTGACTGGCTGATACCAAGCGTGTTCTGTTGGAAATGCCGGTTTGTCCAAAATATGCAGAACAAGACCTTAATTGGTGCCAGCCTAAAGAAGAATTATTTGTACAAGTCTTCATTTCCCTCACCTCAAGCACATACCAGTGTCTCGAGCTGGTTTGGCTATATGCTAGATATAGTTTGTTCCATAGGAATTTCATTGTGTTGGTAATGTTTGTGATGAATCTTAAGGAGATGTATGTATAGAAAGGAGTGACCATATAGAGCCATAGAAGAGGGGGTTCAGTTTCTCCCTTTCCCTTTTTTATTGGATCTCAGCATCTCACAATAATTACACCGTTAAACTTTATTAGATTTCAAATATGTATATATTAATTCTCAGTGCTGATTTGAATATTAACTTAGACAATTTAATTTTATCGTAAAATTAAAATTCATAAATTCCAAACCAATTTGGAATGGGAGGAGTAAAAAAATTTGTGGAATGGATTTATTTAGGAAAAAAACAGTACGAGACCATTACATTTCACTTATCGACAAAGTGTTGTTGCATAACATAGCATGTATGACCACATCTTTAGAGTCGTTTGGTAAGGGTTATTCTGTTACTAGTTTGATACTACGTGTACTTCCATCTATAGAACATGGTTACCCCAATTTCCAATTTTCTTTGCACATTACTATTTGTGTTTAGTTTTTTGTTATTCAAGCCACAAATCCACAATCGATAGGATTACATAATATGGACATTTAGGTCAGGGCTGTAAGGGGTTGAAATTGTAACTGTATGTCCCATCCATTTTCATTTGCACATTTTACAAATTGTGCATCTTTTGTATCCACATGTGGTCTTGCATTGTCATGCTGAATAATCGCTCTTTTGTTAACACTGTCTGGCCACTTAGATTTGATGGCAGACAACACATTTTGCAACATCATGTCTTTCATTACAGCCCATGTGACACTTAATGTAGATTTTGTCTCTAGTGTGCCTGTTATTCTGTTCTTGCTTGATCTCTTTGCTTTTCTTGAAATGTGAAAGGAAAGATCCCTACTTTCCTATCCCATATCACATCCTCTGCATCCCCAAACTTTGGTCTGCCCACAACCGCTAACAACATTATTTTGGGTATGAATTTCTTGGACTGGGCAGCTCTATATGGATCTTCTTCAGTACTATGAGTGTAAAAGTTGGTTGTTTCTTTAGATAATAAAAACCACTTTTCAACAATGCGAACATAGTCATAAAAATGATGAAAAGGGTGATGGGGGGGGGGGCTATGACTGATCAAGTTACCTAAACAAAACTTTAACCTTTTAATCTTGTCTGCCTCTATCAATAAAGGTTTGATTGCATTTCATTGCCTTTTGATGTGTTTAGCTTTCACTAGTCTATTCATGGTTGACTTTGAAACTTGCATGGCAAAGCTTAAAGACCTGATGTTCTTTCTCTAGTGTAGTGGGATATCCTTTATGTAGTCCAAGTAAATTACTACCCTTTTTCTACCTACATTTCCCTTTTGTTGGCTTTGAACATTAATGGACAAGCCTTGGTACATGTGTTGCTTTGCTTTTTTCCACAAATCATGAACTGTTCGTCTTGAAATGTTGAACTGTGATGTTGTATTTGTAACGATACCCTTCTGAAGTCGCCCCTCAATGTAGTTGACTAATAGGATCTCAACGACCCAACTTTTATCTTTATTTGTTAACTTCTTCCATTTTGTGCTGACTGTGGGACTAGTGTTGAACGGTTGTGCATGAGCATTTAAGGTAATGGAAAACATGGATGTTGGAGTATGTGTATTGTTGTGGCTGGCTGCCATGAGGAGTTACAGGAAGTAAAGGCTTTTCAATGCTCATTTTTGGGTTGTTGTGAGAGTAAATGAAGAAAGATTGGGTAGATATATTGTAATGAGAGGGAATTTCAAATACTTTGGCTGAAATATTGGAGGGAATTTGTTAGTGTATTGAAAGTGTTTCGAAGGGATTAGATGAAGAAAGATGTTGTAATAGTATTGGATGTGATATGTAATGAGTGTGATTGAATTGATTAATTTTGATGTTTTAATTTTTTTACCCCCAACACTGTTCATTACCCCTTTCCCTTTAGTTGTTGAAGGCCGCATGCCTCGATGGCATTTTAGGTAAGTCAAAACAAATATTTAAACTACCTAAAAGTGTGTTAATCAAAGTGTGAAGATGCTTTTGGTACAGAGGGAGTACATCCTTATTTGGTAAATACTTTTAGGAAATAAGTTTAGCAAGGAACCTTCCTCTGCAAAGACTATAAAATGTTAATCAACCTGACATATCCGAGACTCCGATTATGTCCAGAATGTTGCGCTAGTTGAGGTAAGACATTCTAGTGTGAAAATTTCCTTTTGTACATGCCATTTTTTACACGCCGGGTTAGACGCCGGTCAAATTCTGTGTACAACCAATTTGATCGGCGTTTTATGAAGAAAATTGATTTTCACATAAACAAAAAAAATTGTCTGTATCACATACATTTTAAAATTTTCATTTAAAATTGTCTGTATCACAGAAATTTATGAAAAATTCCCGTGTAAAATGTCTGTAATACAAATAACTTATTACTTTTGTCTATATGAAAATGGATTTTCTTCAAAAATAAAAACGCCTCTCAATTAATCTGGTGTGTAACCAGTAACCAGGCTTGTATACGGAGCTGGAGTCTACTAGGGCCTGTTTGGGTTGAGTGTTTAGAAGTGTTAGCAATGGAAGTTAAGTGTTAGTAAGGGGCCGGAAGGGAAGGGAAGTGTAAGTGTTAGACATAATTTTACCTTGAGGCAGAAGAAATGAGTAATAAAAGTGTTAATAATTTTGCCTTGTTTGAGAGAGTCAAATGAATGAAGTGTTAATAATGGAAGTGTTAATAATTTTACCTTGAGGCAGAAGAAATGAGTAAGGAGAAAAGATGAAAAAGACAAACCATCGGGCCCCCAGCAAAGAGATTCGAAGTAAGATGTCGAAACATTTTATGTTTTTTGCGTAAATGAGAAGGGTAATAATTGTCCAAAACTTCAAAACACTCCAAATCGAGATGTTGAGAAGGTTATTATTAATACTTCCTAACCTTCACTAACACTTTAACACCTCTTGATATTTCTTCTAAACAAATGTTTGTATCTAACATTTCCATTAGTAACCATCCCAACTCTCAATTCAAACGGATAGAGTTTCTCATCACATTTCTCATCACATTTGGTTACTGAAGTAGGCCGTAGTCATTTACGGGTGCTGAAAAAATCGCGAGCCTGGAGAATCCTCTTTCAAATTTGACAATCCTTTTCAGAAATTTAACGTCTGATCGTTAATTCGTCGGAGAAAATGTCGAGTCCTGTATCTTCGGACTCGCCTGAGGCTGAGTCGAAGAATCCTGAGTCATGCTCAGACTCTGAGCAACCTGCAATAGAAACTCCGGCAAAGGGACAAATTTCAGACTACGAGAAACAAAGATTGAAGAGAATCGAAGAGAACAGCGCGAGAATGGAGGCATTGGGACTTCGCAAAATGACAACTTCCTTAATGGGTTCGCTTCCAAAGGCTCAAAATAAAATTGCTCGCAACAAAGGCAAAAAAAAGGTGAGCGAGGAGGAAGATGATGAATACAAGCCATCTGAAAGTGAAGACGGTTTGAGTTCTTCAGGTGAAGAAGATGAGAATGAGGATGGGGTTTCCAAGTCTGACTCAATAAAGGTATCTTAATTTGGTCTTCTACATTCATCTTGATTTGGTCTTCTACTAATCTACTCCAAGTAAAGTGGTGAATATATAACCTACGTGTGGAAATGCTTGTAAAGGCGAACACTTGAGTGATAAAAATAATGAATGTGCTCTGTGGCGCTAAGTCTATAAAAGCATCCTACTCTCTGCATTTGATGAATGATTGATGTTGAATGTCTTGTTTTGAATTAGTTTATAAAAAGCTAAATTTGTCTGTTTAAAAACCCAAATGTAAAAGGTGTTGCCAAGTTTCTATGAGAAAATGGACTGACTCCAGTTTTCCAGTCCTATTATTTTATGAGGGGAGGGCATTCATCCGCAAACTAAAACCTCTGCAAAATCGAATTCCCTATTCCTGTAAACCGAAACTAACATTTTCACCTTATAACTGACTGAATTAGAAGTTTAAACATATTGACCAAAATGTATCCAGGACATGCAAACGTCCTCTCAACATACTGTCATTTCCATGCAATGATATTAATGACACTCTTTATCTAACTTTTACCCCTTTGGGTGTCTCACAGTCCAAGAAAAAACGTTTACCTCTAAAGAAGAGAGCCCTGAACAAACAGCCTCTTAGTGAATCAGATTTCATGGATGATGATGATTTGATGCAGGTACATGTAGAAAGTTCAATAGTTCCAATTGGACTATAATTATTTTCCTATAGTTCTAAAAATTGTCTGTCATACTGAACTATATTTAGTTCATTTTGTAGGCAATTGCTCTATCACTACAAGATTCCGCCGGTTTTTTAGATGTTAGCAAAAGGCCTGCTAAAAGTGATGGTGCTCATACCATGGACGAGAAGTGTAGAGTGAAGAAAGTAGACTCCAACACCGTAGAAGGAAAAGGAAAGAGGAAGAGAAAACAAACGGTTCGTAAATCCATTTTGACATATATTCGCTGCATGTTTTTTTGAATTTTTTTTGTATTGCTGCAACTATTGCATATGAGTTCATATCTCCTTTGTTCTCTGTATCTTATATAAACTGCTGGCTTGTCTCAATGTTTCCTTTGTTATGAACAGATCAGGAATCGAGTGCAAATGACTGAAGATGAACTCATTTTACACTTCTTTCAGTTTGATGGTAATTACTATTGTTTGCTTTATGATGATTCTGTTTTAAGCTAAAAATTACTAAATCTATGGTTGATTTAAGTGCAAAAATTATTATTCTCTTTTGAACTTACCTCACCTGATGTGTTGCCACTATACAAGTTTTTCAACCCTGGACCATCTCTAGATTCCAACAGCTACTGATATGGATACTCCAGATAATCATATGATTCCTTTGTGTGCTTTTATAAATAAAAAACCAAATTAGTATAAGGAGTTGCTGTGCTTATCCATGCAACCATGTAACAGGAGAATATGGCAGAATAGTGTCACTTGATGGAATCTAATATAACTTGGTCAGCTTTCTATCTCTGTATGTTGTATTAGGCACAACTCATATCCACACACCCCAATGACCCTGATGAGATGATTTTTTGAGTAACTCCATTTCTGCATTGTACCACATTCCAATGCATGCTGACATGCCGACAATGAGTTTGAACTCTATCTAATCTTTCTTTATTCAAGAATTAGGATGACAGTTGACCTTGATATAATTCTTGTAATGAACAATTTATATATTGCTTCATGCTTCTCTATAGTATTAACAAGTGACTAATGGATCACAACCAGTGCATCAATGTAAGTGTTAAATGAATAATAATTAAACGGACTGACAATACAGTTTTTTTGTGCCACTGATCAATTGAGACAATGCATTGCAGAAGCTGGAAAAGGAAGCATAGGTTTGAGAGATTTACAAAGAGTAGCAGCATCACATGACTTTTTATGGTCTGAGGAAGAGCTGAGAGACATGATACACTTCTTTGATGGTGATGGTGATGGAAAGGTCTTCACTAAATCTTAGATAGACATGGCCTTTCATATTACTTGATTTTAGTCACAATGGAATGAAGAGAAACTGGGCTGACATTAGCTTGCTTAGTTAGGCACATTCACATACCCTATCCGTATTCTATTGTTTGCTACAATAGGGTTTGACACAGTTTAAGGGAAAAGTAGTAGGGTTTGACACAATATTTAAGGGAAAAGTAGTAGGGGTAATGAATAGTGTAGAAAAAGTACGAGAGAAGGTGGAAAAGTATGAAATAGAAGATGAAAAAGAGAAAAACTAAAGGTAATTGAGTATTTTGAAAGGGGAAACTTACCCAAAAAAGGGAAGTGTAGCAAAAATTAAAATACATTCCAAAAAGGAAAGTGTAGCAAACAAAAGAATGCGGAGGCACTAAAAAATTAGAAAAGAAAAATAAATGGTTCGATAGTGTGCTGTGCAGGCAGCACATGGTCCCAATGCCTTGGCGGGGCCTTATGGGGGGGGGTTATAGATGTTAGAGTAATAGGCGGGATTAGGCAAGGAAGTGATGTAAATACCTATTAATATTTGGCAGGGGAGTACCTACACATTTGTCGATGAACAAGGACACACATTGAATTGTGTTAGTCTTTACATTTGCCATCGTTCTGCTTTTTTTGACGTTTTATTAGTAATAATCATATGAGATGAACGCGAGTGAGGTTAGCTCAAGTTGGGAAGAGGGAACTAGAGATCAAAGGTCTGTTACAAGCTCAATGTTTCGTATGCTACCTCATCATCAAATTGAATGGAGTTATTTATATGTGGATAATTGTTTTGATCTTTGTATGTTCTTCATATTTCAGCTGAGACTTGATGATTTTCGCAAGATTGCTGTTGGCTGCAACGTGTTACAAGGATCTGCAAATGCTGCATCATGAGGCAATATGGCACAACTTACAGGCAGGTGTGTGGGTGGCTTGATCAGATAGAGGATTCCTTTCATCCCTGCTGTTGTGGTTTTATGTTTGTGTGTGATTGCATTATCTTGGTGCTGACCTTAATCAAGAATCCCGTTTTGTGCAATAAGAATCCTGCTTGAAATATTAACGATTTACGAAAACTAGACAATCAAGCTTCTGTACATGACAAAAATGAAAACTAGAGTAGGGAACAAAAACTCTATGAACAAAAAGTTGAGGCTAAGTAAAAGTGAGTGAAGATGATGCACGTACTGTCTAGATAAATACCCAGCAGACTCGTCTTGTTGACCCCCTCCTGCTATTTCAACACAATGACAATTTATTGCAACTTAAATACTCCCTCCGTCCTGGTCCCCATTCATTTACACACATTTTAAGAAAATGAGATTGTCTGTCACTGTTTGACACTGATTTGTTTACCAAAAAAAGAAAAGGAAAGAGGGCTTTTATTTAGGGACGGCTCGGAAAAGAAGAGGGACTTTTATTTAGGGACGGAGGGAGTATGTTACTCGTAGATATGTGATTGGTATAGGTGTGAGACCAAAGAGGGTCTTAAATCTTACAGAGTAATATCTATCTATACTTGCAATCATCAACTTGAAACTGGGGAGAATGAATAAGAGAGACTAGTCTTGGACCCGGTTCGGGCCACCCGTCCCGTGGACCGGCCCGGCCCGCTACTGTGCGGGCCCGGAACCGGCCCGCTACTGTGCGGGTCCGGAACCGGCCCGGTTCTCGGGTCCGGGCCTAACGGCCATTTTAAATAAAAAAATCCTTTAAAATTCTAAAGAGCCGCTTGGCTCTTTTGACTCACATCCCAAATGGCTATATAGCCGTTGGGTGGTACGGGGGGGGGGGGGGGGGGGTCCGGGGCTTTTGGGCGGTGGGGGTTAAAAAAACCTATAAATACTCTTAATTTTAAACATTTTTTCACACCTCTTCTCCAACTCTTCTTAAATCCTACTCTCTACTCTCTACTCATCTCCATATTCATCTTCTCAAATTCTCTTATTCTCCATTATATTTTATTTTACTATTTAATACTTATGCAATTTTTTTTAGAATATCAGTCAAACTGCCTGGTATATATTGCAAACCAACATTGATAAGCAAATGCATCATTTTAGTATATAATAATTGTATAATACTTATACAATTATTATAGCTACTTATATATTAATTATTCACTTATAAATACATATACTATATTACTTATATTTCTTATCTACTTAATCTCTACTTATTATCTACTTATATCTCTACAATCTAATAAGGGTGAATGAAGGTTAGGGGCAAATTGGCATTAAAAAATGTTGGTGGTATAGGTATGCATTATGCAACCCCCACATGTACCACAAAGCTTTATCATAAATTGTCCTATTATATTCCATTTTATTTTCTCCTTTATGCCCAAACTCCGTTAGAGTGAAACCATTTCCGTTTAATTCATTCAATGCTAATTAATAGGTTTATTGAATCTGATGGACCCATGCTAACTTTATACATAAATAGTTAAATACATAATGATTTTTTATTTTCTGAAGTGGTATTTTTAATTTTTAGTAAACCTTGTGCTAATTAGAAATTACGTTTCTTCAATATGTTCTTTTTATATTGTTATTCATTATCTTCCCAACAAAAAGTAATAATAATAATAATCTTACTACGTAATGGAAAGCTTTTCAATTTTCATCATTTGATATGTGAGATTTTAATATTCACTAAGATTAACGTAGGATTACTAATGCTGAGCATTTACCAAAGTGACATTTTTAGTCATGATTCTATTTTAACCTTTTTGAAAATTGTTGTGTAACAAGTAAACATTTTCGCGTATCTGAAAATATAGTACAATCTAAATCTTTCTGATGTGTATTTTTTTCACCTGATATAGTCTAAATCTTTTTACTGTGATCTGATCTGAATCTTTCCGATGTACGATCTGATGTGATTTTTTCTAATGTGATTTGGTCTTCATTTTTTAGATTTGACCTGATCTGAATAAAATAAGAACGAACAATAAGCAATAAAAATAAGATGAACAAAATAACTCCTAACAAAGTGATGCAGCCAAATCATTGTTGGGTGTGTCTCGGAAAAACAAAGAAAAATTAATTAAAATGACAAAAGAAATAAAACAAGAAAGAGATGGGGCAGGAAATAGTTAGAGCTCGTGCTACGCACGATGTCCTTAAAATGTATTTGTTGCTACGCACTGTGCTAAGAGCCTTGCAACAACCGTTTCCCAAGATACAGTGGCTAATGAACGATCGTTTGAGCACACAAACGAAAGTTCTGGCGAACGAAAACACAAGTAGCTAGAACACTCGGGAATATTTTCGGAAACTGGAGGTGATTTTAGCTCTCAAAAGTACGTAAGGATTTGTATGAACGTGTGTTGTTGCAAAACACATGTTAGCTACATATAGGGACGAATTTGTTGAGTGTTAAGTGACCTTTAATGGACATGAACGTTGGACATAAATGACCAGCACGTTGGGCATTAATATGTCGAAAAACAGTCCATTTAAAGACACATTAAAAGATAAGAACGTTGGACAATAAATTTCGCAACGGATGAGAACTGTTCAAGTGCGCGACCAAAACACCCACAGGTCTTCTGGTTCTGAAGCCATCAGAACTGCTCTCTAGGTTCTCGGAAGCCACCAGAGCTGCTCTTTTGGTCAATGATTTGATGTGGAGATTATTTCACAAAGTGAATCTCAGCATGCATCTAAATGTTAAATGCTAAAAACTCAAAGTTATTTTTAAATCACAATATGTACAATATGGAATTTTAAAAAAATACACTGGGCATTCACCCAATCGCGCGTTGCGCGTATAATAACTAGTCTACTTAATACATACATACTACATCTACCATTTTAAAGATGGAAAGTAAATCTTCCCTTATGCAAAACAATTTTGATATGTGGAAGGACCCGAAGACCGAGCTGTGGTAGGCAACTTGCAAGTGGTGCAAGAAAGAGTGTAGCTTGGGGCGTTCACACGGATACAGGATGCCCATAAAACATATGAAGTCCTGTGACAAAGGCAAAACAACAACCAACGGTGGCGAAAATTCCGATTGATATTTATTGGAAAATGTATTTCATATTGCAATTTTTTTCTAAATTCTCAAATGTAGTTCATATTTCTAATAAATGCACTTGAACTTTGTTTTTAATAAGAATTTATATAAACTATAATTTAAAAAAAAAATAAACATGACCCAGCCCGCCCGGCGGGTAGCCCGGCCCGTGACCCGGGCGGGTGGCCGGCCCGAACCGGAACAAGCCGAGGGACTGGCCGGTCTCGGGCCCACTTATACGGAACCGGCAGCCCGACCGGGCCCGACCCGGCCCGAGTCCAGCCCTAAGAGAGAAACGCTTACAGGGGAATATTTGAATTCACAAGAACCAGTCACATAACTAAATTTCCTTTACGATTTTGAGCGTCTTGTGCGTCTCAACAATATCCTTAGTCCTCACTTCCATAAACTAATCGTGCCAAATAAGAATTCCATACACTTAAATAATCTGGCGATTCAATCACATTAAGCATTTAGCGAACCTCTCATGCTTCATGTCAAAAACTAGTAACACAAAAGAGAAAGAACAAACGTATAAACAAATATAAGCGAACTACTACTCCGCCTAGTTTTCAACAAATAACACACGAGTTGGGATCCTCCTCCACACTTCTAGTGTTGTGATAGGCACTTGGTGGATATTGAGCATTATAATAAGGTTGTTGTTGTTGCTGCGGTTGTTGATGAATATGATAGTAATAAGGATGATATTGATAAGGCATTGGTGGCAGTGGCGGAACCAGGAAATAAGTAGAGCGGGGGCACAATCGCATAATATAAACCATCAAATTAATAATAACATTGTCTTAAGTCTTAACAAATCATACCAAATATAAGAAATTTAATCAAAAGCGCTAATGTAATGATGCTAAATCCAATTTTTTCATGTAAACGTCATTATGCTCGTATGTTGGATAATAACCTCATTATCGACGCGTCTAAACACATCTTTTTCTATGTAAGAGACTACACATTCGTATCTATAGGTGTAGCTCGAACAAAAACATTTGAAAAACTAGCACTCGCACTTATCGGTGCTTTAGTCCGGGAAATAAATTCCCAATTGACATTCCCTAATAATAATTATCAAAAACTAAAATATTTAAATCAAAGTTCAAACTATTATAAAATCATAATTTAATATCAATAATACGTAATTAGTTGATTCACTACAGATTTACATGTACAACAATCTCAATATAATACTCGTATAATATAATTGAATAATACACAATGATTCATTTGGGATCCGTTTCTGCTGGTAGCCTGGTCCTAGCGGTTTGGGGAATTGGGGCTTTCGGTTGTTCGGCCTTGGCAATTGGCCCAACTGGCCATGAGTTGTACGGAGTAATTTTTTTAGTTGCCCATTAAAGAAACGACATCGTTTCCTTTTAAGTAAAAAACACAGCCTTCCCCTTCGTTCCTGTTGACTGCCCAGTCTGCAAGTCTGCAGCCCTTGAACGCCGGAAACTATCCACCCGCCGGCGGACCTCCAAGACCCAACCCTATACCTAACTCGCACGGCCGAAGCAGGGGCAAGTGCCCCCCTGGCCCCCCTGGCAGATCCGCCCCTGATTGGTGGTAACTGTACAACTTGCTGTTTACCACCATCTTGCTTCTTCTGATCCCCTTCTTTCTTCTTCTCCTCTACCTTTTTTGGCTCTTCTGTCTTCTTCTTCTCCTCCTCTTTCGCTGGACCCACTGAAAAAATTTCTGTGCGACAAAACTTCCTCAACATTGCCACCACCTTCACCGGATCTATGTCCCCAATTAATGTCAATTTTTTGTCTTGTCGATCCATTGCTATAGATTCAAGCCCTTCATTTTTCAGATAAAATATTATCAGCCCACAAGCTTTTAAAACACACTAGTAGCATGAATGATATGCGGAGTCATAACTGGACGTGCTTATGCATTGTGGTACCTAACTATGAATGCAACAAACTAGTACCATAAATTCAACGAAAGTATTTGAATTTCTGACCAAAATGATCTGACTTAACATTCTGGATTCCAACGGAGTATGTTTATAACTAATTCACATTATGAGTGTGATCCATTGCGGATCGAATCAGAAGAAATTAGAATTGCAGCTAATCTAATCACTATAACAAAGCAGAATAACACTTTGCTCATGATCACTCCATTAACTATTTTTTTAGCATCATGAGTTTAGAAACTCAGGAACCAAGCCTGGCAATTTTTAAATGGTGTGTTTAATAGCTTCATTCAACAATATCAATAATTAAGACATCATTTGGGGTCAGCGGCCGAGATAGAGATGCAAAGCATTTGAAGATTGTCCTAAAGAAAATATATTGGGGGGGCAAAACTTATACCCGTAGTACTTCTCTTTCCCAAATTATTTTGAAAGTAAACCAATAATAAAAGTCAATCCTCTCTATAAATAATTAATTCAATTTTTAATAATTAAAATTTACATTTAAATCTCTTCAAAATTGCAAACTCCAAATTAGATCACAAATTTGGTTTTCTTGAAGAAAATATCAACTTTTCCCTTACTATTTTGGCCCAAACTTACAATTTAAAAAGAGGGAATCTTTTTTTGCAACACATGGGATTACCTGAGATTCCGGAGACAGTTTTCATGGCTTTTTGTTTCATTTTCTCATCAGCGAACTCCAATTTCAACACAACTTTCTGTCGATAGAGCGATTATAAATTAAAAATGAATAAATATGAATTGGTCAAAACTAAATACATTAATTTATGAAAAAAGAAAGAAGACCGTTATTACTAACCTTCATCCTTAACTTGGCGATAGGTGGTGATACGAGTGTGTTCTGTGTTTTCAGAAGAAGAGAGAAATGAAAATTGAGATGAATCCAGATAGTAGTGAGAATGCAGGCAGGCAATTTATAGGATAGGATGAGGTCAACACTTCTATTTTGGTCAGCAATTTGGTTCTGTGTTGGTGCAGGGAAGCGTCTCCCAGAAGCTTTGATTAATTACAACTTACAAGTGGCGTGCCAAATTTGACCAAAATCTATCGGATGTACGGAGTATGTAAGGTGTTGGGATTCCCACAAAAATATCACTCCCTCTCGCGGAATAGTTCGCATTTCTTCTTTTGGTAACACTAAAATTGATTTCATATAGGCCATGTTGGCACACAAAAGCCTCTGCCTTTTAACTTCTCTTTTCTTTAAAAAGATCTTAAAAGACTCCAGTTGTATGTTTGACATGACATTTTTTAAGAGCTTTTCAAAAATTAAAAGATCTTTTTTGAGATGCTACCCAGTGTAGCATCTGAGAAAAGCTTGTGACTTTTAGTATTAATTAGTCCTAACAGCTTGTATACCAAACCGAACTAAATCAAACAGTCGGCTTTTTACCAAACAGCTATCACCTTTTCTTTTAAAGATCTTTTCAGTCACTAAAAGCTAACAGTTACTAAAAAGCTCACAAAAGTATCTTTTCAGCTAGTTGTGCCAAACATACCCATAGAGCCCGTTTGGTAACATTAAAATTAGCTGTATTGGCTGATTTTGCTGAAATTTATGAAGTTCTGGCTGAAGTGGCTGTATTGGCTGATTCTGCTGATTCATGAAAAAATTATATTTAAAATATTTTTCATTAATAAATAAAATAAAAAATTATATGAAAAAATAGTTAAAATGATCCTCTACAGTAACTTCAGCCAATACAGCCAGAAAAGTAACTTCAACCTTACTTTTTCTGCTTATTACACAATTCAGCGTGTGAAATCAAAAGTTACGTGTTTGGTGAAAAAGCTGGCTGATAAACCTGATAAGCCGAAAAAAGGGGTCACCAAACGGGCTCATAAAAAATATTGATTTTCATTTTAACAAACAATTGACCAATCTTAAATGAAAATTTATTCATTAAATATTAAAAATAATACATTTATAACATCATTGTTATCATCTCTAACCTCATTATATTATACTACCTCTAGTATCAAATAAACTTCACATTTTTCTTTTTAGACATATCCAAAATAAAGTTCACACTTTTACTTTTGGCAAATTTCTAGTATAAAGTTACACTTATACTCTTACTTTTTCACTTACATTATATACTCACTTTCTTTCTCCCATTACATCTAATCCTCTTTTATGTAGGGGTATGTTGGCAAAGTCAAAAAGAAAAACTTAACTTTTTTTAAAATTGTAAACTCAAAATGTAAAGTTTATTTGAGACCGTAGGAAGTATTTCTCAAAATATACTTGAATTACCTTATTTCATTATTGTCCAAATAATCGTGCCGTTGAGAACCTTTTAACAGAATGGAGGTAGAAATGAGTGACCAGTTACTGGATCAGTTAGAGCTATTTGGTTGGACATGTTATACCCTTGTTAGGCCCAGTTGACCCATGCAGTGACCAACACTACACCGACCAGTTACCGGATCAGTTGGAGTTATTTGACTGGACCTGTTACAGTTACCCTACTTGTAAGTTACAGTTACCTGACCCGTCAGTTACAATTACTCGACCGTTCAGTTACAATTACACGATCCGCCAGTTACAGTTATCCAATTTGACCAGTTATAATTATCCAACTCGACCAATTACAATTATCGGGTTCGACCATTTACAATATCTGGATCGAATAATGATTACTGTTGACCATTAGAAAAGATAGAAACATAGAAATCTGAGAATGAATAGATTCAATCTTATTGATAGAGATTAGGTTACAGGAGTATTTATACAAAGCAATAACCGACACAGCTCTGAAATAACAACTTCCAACTAATTAGTCTAACCGCCTCTACCAGCTCATTACTCTAGAATATTCCTAACATTCCCCCCTCAAACTGAGGTTGATTTTGTATGCAGATCATCAACAGTCAGTTTGGACCTCAGCTCAGCAAACCTAGAACTGGAAAGAGGTTTTGTAAGAACGTCTGCCACTTGGAAATGAGCTGGAATATGAAAGACTTCCAATTGCTTTGTTTGAACCTTCTCTCTGACAAAGTACATATCAAGTTCCATGTGTTTTGTTCTAGTATGCAGAACAGGATTATGAGAAAGATGCACAGTGCTGAGATTATCACAGTAGATTCTGGGAACATAATATGGAACTTGGATTTCTTTTAGTAAGTGATAAGTCTAATTTGTTCATATATTTTCACTCACTTTTTATAGCGTTTCTTCTTAAACTCGGGGCAAATTGAAGCATTTTTCTTTATTTTTATTGCATTTTTGTTAATGTTTGAAATTAGTGTTTAAATTTACGTTTTTTAGTAATTTGTGCTTGATTGAAGTGTTTGGATTGATTTTTTGTTTTTTTTTTCACTTATTTGTACTTTGGTTATTTTGTGATTTTTCAAATTTAGCATTCTATTATATTTCAATAAGATATCTTTTAGTACAATAAACAAATGAAATAAGAAATAATTACATAAATATGACCAAAATAAAGATGGTTTACAAAAATATGATTCATTACTAGAATAGTAATGAAATCATAGTAATTCATGTTCAAGTTTTGAACTTTAGTTACCACAGCACTACGTTGTAGTAATGAATAGTCATATTTATGTAAATAAGTTTTATTTTAGTAATATTCTCGTAAAAAACCCATGAAATAAAGTAAAAGAAAACTAAATAAATAAAAAATGATAAAACCCAAAAAGAAAATGCAGCAAGGCTGCGTTACAAACAAAAAAAGAAGCAAAAAGTTAAAGAAAACAAAAAGAAAAGCAGCCAGGCTGCGATACAAAGAATAAACAAAAGAACAAAAAAAAAGAAGAGACGAAGAAAGGAGATAAGTGGAGGATAAGGAGCCAACAAATTTCCTGGGAAAGAAAGGACATGTGCTTTGACTTTTTGAGTGCTTAACCCCAAGCCAAAAAAATGAGACAACTTCGGAGAAGGGGGGAGGAACCAACGAGCTGCACAAAAGGGATAGGAGCAGCTGGCCGCAATACACCTTCCATCAATTAACTCATGAAAAAAACACTCACTTGTCGGCAGAAGAGAAGAATACACTCCCAACAAATCAGTTCGCAGAAAATAAGAAAAAAACGAGCTCTTGGCCGCAGGGCTAGGGCAGAGCAGAATCAAGATAGCAGCTGGCCGGATAGGATGAAACGCAGCACAAGGAAGAAAACTTCAACAAGCTACTCCATGTTCATTGGGCTTTCAATCTTAATTGTTAAGGTTTAGTGTTAAATTTCCTTTTTAATTTCATGTTTGAATAAGCTCTAAATTTCGTTCTTGTAATACGTATCATTGGGAACTACTTTTACGTTGGATTCTGAATTGCAATTATGTTGAATGAATTTGTTATTGATCGAATTATCTCCATGTATTACTTAGTTCGTTGGTTAATTGTGTTAGTTTCTTAATAATTATGTTAGGCTAAATTTTCATGGGGTTTGGATTTGGATAAAGTTAAGGTTAATGGGTGTTCTTGAATATTGAATTGAATTTGGGAAAATTCTCTAATTTTTAGGAGTAGTTGTTTGAGATAAATTTGAATGAGTAATTTGTGAAATTGATCACTTCACTTGTGAATGTTTGGAAAATTAATTCTTGCTTGTCTATGAGTGTAGAATTAATTTAGCTGACATCTCACACACCCTAAACTAAGCCTAGAAATAGGACATGTTAGAGAATTAAAATTAAATTCTTGTCTATGAGAATTAATGTTACTATTCTTAGATTGGAGAAAATACCCAAATTTATTTATAATCCAAGACATCCAAGATCCTTAATTAATTTCAAATCTAAACCCCACTTTTAATTAGTTAATTTATTGTTACTAGTCACATTGAATTTACTTTTTAGTATTTTATTTTCGAAACTATACTCATCCACATGTTTGCTAGTTTAATATTTTAATTAGTTAATTAAATTTCTCTCTCAATTTATTTTGCATGTTCACTAGTTTTAGTTTACTCAATAATGCCATTTAATTAAATTCACAGTTATTACTTTTATTGTTTATTTTTATTTGGTTAATCATTATCACAATCTAATCGTTTGAGAAAGCTTGCAATGACTCGTACTAACCGGTGACCGATATTGAAACCAACATTTCCCTCCGCCACTCCTCAGAGACACGATACTCGGGGAAAACCAAAAGGTTAGACTCCGTTTTACTACAACGCCGCGAAAGCGGTTATCAGTAAGGATTGCACCCAAAGAATTTCAGATGTTGTGTCTGCAAGACTTCTGTACTCTGCCTCAACTGAAGATCTGGCAACACACACTTGCTTTCTAGACCACCAGGATATGATATTAGGTCCAAGAAAGAGATAAGAACCAGAGGTTGACCTTCTGTCAGTAGGATCTGAAGCCCGGTCAGCATCACAGAATCCATTTAAAGGTAGTGGTGAGTTTGAGACTGCTGGTTTGATAGTAATGCCATGCTTGAGTGTACCAGATAGGTATCTCAGAATGCGTTTGCCTTCCTGCCAATGTTCATGAAGAGGTTGTGCCATGAATTGACAAACCTTATTGACAGCAAAGCTGATTTCAGGTCTAGTTAACGTAGTATATTGGAGTGCATCTACTATAGATCTGTAAAAGGTATGGTCTTCTACAACTCTGGATACTTCATTTGTGAGTTTACATGAACTGACCATAGGTGTTTGGAGTCCTTTTGAGTCACTCATTCCAACTCTGTGAAGAAGATCTTTGATGTATTTGGTTTGAGATAAATGAAGGCAACCATTGGACAGAAAATTGGCTTCTATTCCTAAAAAGAAGTCAATGTTTCCCAGATCTTTGAGAGAGAAAGAGGTGTTCAGTTTGTGAATAAGATTCTGAACAGTAAAGGAATGATTTCCAATGACAAGAATGTCATCTACATATATAAGTACATAAATGCTGATATTGTCTTGAAGAAGGAAGAGAAGAGAGGGATCACACTTAGACTGCCTGAAGCCAATACTGTAAAGTGCAGATGTGATCTTTAAGAACCAAGCTCTGGGAGCTTGCTTTAAACCATACACAGCCTTGTGATGTTTACATACTAAGGAGGCATCAGTGTTGACAAAACCAGGAGGCTGGACCATATACACATCTTCTTCAAGATCCCCATTCAAAAAGGCATTGTAACCGTAATGGGCCAGTTATTTGT